TATATATATATATATATATTAATTTTTAGATGATGAAGTGCAGATGGTGCTGGAAGTTAGGTATCCGCCAGGGACATTACCTGACCATTTTCAACAGAAAGAAACGGAAGAAGAACAGCGTCAATGGGCGGTGGAGGAGCTTCGAAGAAGGCGGCTGGAAGCGCAAATGGAAGACGAGCGCTACGAGCGGGAAACAGTCCGTCTCTTGTCGGAAATCGAAAACGAGATCATTGCCGACAACACCGACAACAACGGCGTCGCCGACGAGAACGATGACGACGACAACGATGATGACGAGGATGCCGACGACAACAACGACGCCGGCAACGACGACGACGACGACTACGACAACGATGATGACGAGGATGCTGACGACAACAACGACGCCGACGACAAGAACGACGACGACGACGACGACTACGATGATGACGAGGATGCCGACGACAACAACGACGCCGACGACGAGAACGACGACACCGATGACGATGGAGAAGACGAACGCCTCGTGATTATTTCGGAAACGGAAGATTCTATTGTAAAAATATCGGAGGGAGAAGGTTAGAATAGTTAGAATAGTATTTTATATAATTGTAATATATATATATATATATATAAGTGTAACAAAATTAAGTGTAAAATAATTCGATATAATAAAAAAGATATAAAAAAACCAATTAGCGATATAAATTAGGTAGACGATTCATTTACAGTTAATTGAATAAATATACGTTTAATATGTACGAGGTGTGATCAAAAAGTAAGGTGACTCTTTGAATTTCGCGCGCTCTGTACACTCTAATTTCAAAATTTTTTGTTGTTGTGTTGGTACACTCGTCACGATCATATGTTCACAGTTTTGACTATATAGTATGTGTTGTTTTTATGTGAGAGGCATAAAGGTTAGACTCGTGTTTGCGTGCTCGGCGATTTTTTGCAGTTGAAAATAATAGAGCAGAGAGATTGTATTAATTTTTGTGTAAAACATGGTATTAAGTGTTCAAAAACTCTTGAAATGTTGACAGTGGCATACGGTGAGTCAACTTCGAGCGAAAAAATGTTTATAAATGGTATAAGTTCTTCCAAGAAGGCCGAGAAAATGTTAACGATGAACCTCGCTCTGGACGCCCCAGCACGTCAAAAATCGACGAAAATGTTCAGAAAGTGAAAGAAATTGTGTTGAAAAATCGTCGAATCACGATTAGAGAAGTAGCTGATGATCTTAACATATCGTTTGGCTCATGCCAATCAATTTTAACGGATGTTTTAGGTATGACACGTGTGTCAGCGAAGTTCGTTCCAAAACTGCTTAATTTTGATCAGAAGCAGCATCGCATTAGTAGTAGTTTTTTGGCCACAAACAATACTACCATCATGCCTCAGCCACCGTATTCACCAGACTTGGCCCCCTGCGACTTTTTCCTCTTCCCAAAATTGAAAAGGCCCATGAAAGGACGAAGATTTGCAACGATTGAGGAGATTAAGGCTGCATTGCTGGAGGAGCTCAAGGCAATACCCAAAAGTGCATTTCAGAAGTGTTTTGACGACTGGAAAAAGCGCTGGCACAAGTGCATTATATCAGAGGGGGATTATATTGAAAGGGATAACATAATTTTGGATAAATAAATGAATATTTTTTTATAAAAATGAAAAGTCACCTTATTTTTTGATCACACCTCGTATATACTCGTTGTCCTACTTATTTAATTCCCCTGTATAAACTTAAAATTACGCTAAGAAATATCACATAAAAATAAATTTTTGAAATTAATATTGAGCATAACTAAGTTTCATTAATATTGTGCATGTCCAAACGCGTTTTTCTTATGTTACGCGGTAGAAATTGACGCGATAAGAAAAGTCACACACTCAGTATATTTTTCATTAAATTTGACTTAAATTTTTGTTTCTATAACAATATATTTACAACACCTTATATACAACACGTATATATATATGGATTTAATCAAATATAATTAAAGCGTCTGTCTAATGTATCAATAATTGGTTTGTTTACCGTCGTTTGATAATCGCTTGTTAATATATTGAGAATTTTTGTATTAAGTTTTTGTATTTACAGTACAATACGGGGGCGGAACTGTAAATGTTGCGCAAGAAAATAGTAGTAAACAGGACGGCACCAACAACGAGCGCAGCGACGACACCGTCGAGCGTTACACCGGCAGCAGCAGCCCAGGTAGCATTAATGTCTAATTGGTACCTATAAGTTATCGTTGTAAGGTTGCCTTTAGGATTTTACTATANGATAACCAATGTATGCCTTTAAATCGACATCTGTTTTACTGTTGTCTGAAAGATGTCTTTTTTATGACATTTAACATGATAGGAAAAATGTTGTCCAAAAGTCATCATGTTAATTTGATCTGATAGATGTCTGTTTT